ACATTGATTCATAAATCAGAAAAGAGATTTACAAAACGTAAAGCATATTTACAGTTCTTGCCGGTAAATCCTAACTGTAACATTTTGATTTAGTAGTTCTTATTTTGCCCTTGGGCTAAAAGTAATTGAATGGCATTACAAGTATGTGAAGGATGCAGTGAGGCCTAATGGACAAAGCACTCGGACTTGGGAGACCTGGGTTCTATTCTGAGCTCTTCACTGGCCTGCTAGGTGACCTTGGACAAAGCACAGCTATGTGCCTCAGTTTCCCCATCTGTAAAATGGGGATAATAGTCCTTACCTCCTCTGTAAAGTGCTTTGCAGTCTACCAATGAAAAGAGCTATATATTATCATCATCATCATTATGAATTCATTTGTGTGTCAGGTTGGTGAACCTCTGAAATTACAATCAGGTTCCATAAAAGCATTTTAACCTACAAGTTAGCTCAGATTTTGGATTTATAAATAGTGATCAGACCTTCTATGGGGTCTATCTAGATCCTGGTGAGTTTGTGACCTGAATCCTGTAGTTTGGTTTGCAAAGGTCAGCAGTAACCAGCCTCTGAAGATTTGTCTGGCAGTTCCAAATTCAATACGTTCCAAACTCCACTCTTCTCCCTCTTCCAATACCTTCTCACAGAAGGCCCCTTCCAGTAAGCCCTGGGCCACCCCTCACTAATCACTTTCTGAGAAGAACTACTTGTTCCATTTACTACCCTTTCTGCTTCCCGAGCCGCTTTAATCAATCCAGCTTGATCTAAACCCATCCAAGAGCCTAGGAACACCTTAATAGGTTCCCTTAAACCATCACAGATTAAATCTGTCACGTGTTTCTCCTCAATATCAGCCAGAGAGCATACCAACAACAATCTAGTACAGTAAGCCATAAGAGATTCCCTTTCCTCCTGATGCATCAACAAAACTGACCTTCTTAATCCAGGTGGGGTCAGAAAATATCTGGTTATTTTCTGTATAGCACCTTTTCTGTCATCTTTGCTTAATACTGCCTCAATTTCTGCCAACAATGCAGTTCCTTCCATAGGCCCAGCACACGTTATTATCAATTCTCTTAAATTTCCAAGATCTAGATGTTTTCTAACCAAGTATCCCAGCAGCCCAAGACAAACACGTTTTCTTAGTCAAAGAATCCAATGGTTTAGTCTGTTTTTTAATTCCAGTCAGAGGACGAATTACTTCCTATTGTATTTGCCATGGAGACTGAGCATCTGCACTACCACTGTTGGCTGGGCTACCAGAGGCCCTGGAAGTGGCTCCTCTTCCTCTTCCACCTGTAATTTATTCTCTCCTTCAAGTCCTTACATGTCTGCGTTAAAGCGGTTACCTACTGAGCATTAGTTACATTCTGTGCTTCAGCAGTTGCAAGTCACATTTCAGGTTTTCATTTTGCAATTTTAGTTTTTCCAATTCCTGTTCCCAGGCATCGTGCTCTTTTACAAGCTTATTTACTGCATGATACATAGCCCAAAAAGTAGCATTCATCATTTGCTCCTTAGAAGTGTAACCCTTTTGATACCCTGACAACAGATAGTCTAAACCTTTCTTATACGGTATTGGGATAGCATCATCCAGCCATGGGTCTGATCCCAAGCTTTTAAACACATCAGAACATAAGAATGGCCATATTGTGTCAGACCAAAGGTCCATCTAGCCCAGCATCCTGTCTTCCGACAGTGGCCAATTCCAGGTGCCCCAGAGGGAATGAACAGAACAGGTAATCACCAAGTGATCCATCCAACACATGTCTTAATAGGGACTTATTAGCAAGACCCAAAGGCTTCGGGACATCCCCCTTGTCCTCCGAGGTGGACCCGCCTTGCTTGCACTTGCAGAACATCACAGACTTGAAAATAGGTATGCGGGGTTGTATTAGTGCTGTGTGTTTCCCGCTCTCTCAATATTCTGGCTCCAAGCTATATTCAGTTTCCTGGTACAGTACAATGTCTCAAAACAACATTTCAGCTTGGCTGAGCAGTTCACTAGCACGGTAACCATCCTCTGCTACCAATGTCAAAACTGATCTTTAATGGTCCACAGCTAGGCAGATTGTTACCCGTACCAGTGAAAATTCGGATTCAATTTGCTCAATGAACAGCTGTTTATTCGACAAAGAATCACAAAAGCAGTGAAAGATTATATAATGCGTCTCCCTAATAAGCCTCAATTCCCCAAGCGTAAACCCTCAGTAACTGTGTTGGCCTTACACAGTTCAAAAGTCCTACAAAAGTGCCTTGTAGCAGGGTCTTGGCTACCCTGAGACCCTCTGTCTTACAGCATCACAGACCTTTTCAGATGTTAATTGGGGAACTAACTAACTCACTCACTCTGCTTGGCATTTATACCTTTTGTTCTCAAAGGAATCACATGTCCCAAAAATATGCCCTGTGGGCGTTTTATCACTGGTTTTTCTAATTAATATTTTAGAAGGGGGCTGCAAACAGACACAAACCAAAGATCAGTCAATGTTTACCCTCTCATCAATCATTCACCTGAGCTCTTAGCGTGGTGTCATCCAAAAGGGTCATTTTGACCCAGGTCAGCTTGTGCCAAGCTCACTGATGGCATGTTTTTGCATTTTCTTTACTTGGTGAGCTGGTCATCGGCTGATATGTTCCAAAGTTTCATACTGAAACACACACGGATAGTCTCAATTAACGATTCAAGTGCAATCTCAGCACTCTCAGAAAATTTCCATATCAACTACCTGATACTAAGATAATCCTGCTCCCAGAATGCTCTAGTAAATTCAGACGTACCAAGCCATACCAAACTCACATTCACCACATTCATTCATATCAATCACAACAATTCACAATAATTTGACACCGTCCCAACAATATGATCTCCTAATAAATGGAAAGAAGTATCTAAAGAACAGATTTGCAGACACCCACCTTCCACCTTGCCCCAAGAAAGAATTCGGAGAGAAAGAAGAGCACTGATTTTTATACCCTTATGAAGTAGCAACTATCTACTATCTTGTCCCCCCTCCCCCCCCCACAAAAAAACAAAACAAAAACATCCAGATACTCCTTTGGTCAAGAATGAGACACATTGCTGGGGAAGCCGGTTTTTATATTGTTCTTTAAATAGAGGACTTCAGTCTCCAGTGCTATAATCTGTCCCTTTTAATAAGCACTAAATTCACTCAAGAAAGAAAGAAAGAAAAGGTACCTGATGCTGAGTCACATTGTTATTGTGACAAACCTTCATATCTTTAATAAACAGTCATCCATAAATCCATACTGAACAATAAGCCAAATAAACTCCATCAGAAAGTCTCTTTAGTATGAGGATTCATTAATGACATTGAAAGCTTAGTATGAGACAATGCACTAGTCATATCAAAGGCTTTTGCAGGAAGCCTGACTTGATCAAAAACTCTGTTTATTTGAGGAAAGGGTAATTTAATTATCTATTTTCCTGAGGAAAGGTATTCTTGTTGACTCAGGATTTAGATATTAGCATATAAGGAATGCATTGTTTCGCTTAATCTAACAGCCCAACATCAAAGAGACTTTGCCCTACAAATGAGCAGTCAGAAGTAAAATAAATAAATTAATAACGATTAAAACACACAACAAGCAAACAAAGGTTGAAAGAATGATGCAGGCAAGTCTAGTTTTTGCTAGAAATAGCCTTCATCCTCTTTACTGAAATGAAGTATTTATCTATGTGGTATCTTGTTTCAGTTCTGTATAAACATTCTAGAAAGTTTGGGGTTTAAATTAGAGAGATAGTTGAAGGATGTTGTTGTATGCATTATTAATCTTATTACTATCACTAAGAATGTATATAAATGTCCATGGTGTTTTACAAATTTAAAATTTTCAAAAGTCTCCAAGCGAACACGGGACCACAAACAGGGGAGTTTGATACGGGGAGAAGGAGATCCTCCTGCTGAATGAACAAGGTGCGAATATTAATCTCGGAGTGAGTGAGTTTGCTTGGCTGTTGGTATTTTTGTTTCTCTTACAGGTTATTTCAGTTACAGGGTCAATTGGGATTGTGTGTCTGGGCACTGTTTGAGCTTCTGTTCCCTGGATCATCTTTGATCAGTCTCAATCAGCCTTGTGATCACCTCCCCCAGTGTTATTAACGAGGGGGTAGGACTGACCTAGAGAAAAAGGACTTAAAAGCCAGAGGCTAAGTGACCAAGGGGAACTAGTGAACATGGGAGTTTGCAAGGAAGCACCCAGACGATTACCAGCGCTTTGCCGGATGCCTGTCCAGCCTCAGAAACCACTCAGAGGGACCGCAGGACTTGCCAGACACCTGCCCAGCCGGACCTCTCGACCCCACCCTTCCACACCAGGGAGAACCAGCCAGCGATACTGCCAATGCTGCTGGAACCCCCTGCTGCAAGGTAATGAGGACACCATCTACCTGCAGTATCCCCTCACTGCGGACGTGGTCATTTGCCCCATCTGCTCCTCGCGCCGAATCTTCCATCTCTTCGGTGGCATCACCAGGCACCTGAAGAGATGCCACAGCAAGCGGGTCACCTTCAGCTGTGCCCTTCGAGACCCAGAAGCAATGCAAGATGCACGAAGTCGCCTGTAAGAAATGCCTCAAGGGAACAACACAGTCTCCCGCCCCAGATCCCAGCCCTCCTACTGCACACCGGTTCGATGCTCCTGAGTCTCAATGAAGAAAGCCGACCTCGCAAGCTGCCATCAAAAAGCCTGCCCCCGCGGCAAGGCAAGGGGAATGGGGTGATGCAATCGGGATGGTACCTGCTGCATCGGGGAACATCACCCAGGTCCTCACCAGCAGGAGGCACGTCTCACCCTTGCATATCGCCAAGAAGATCTCCATGCTGAGATGACTCCGTGTTGCCTCGCCACCTGTCCAGCACATCCCCGTCTTTAGAAGGATCAGTGCCCTACCGCGCATAGCTGATCGAGATCCTGTCACCGGAAGGGCTAGCACCACCCCTCGGACAGCCCTGCCCACTCCAGCCATCAGAGGAGCCAGCGCCATGCCTCAGACCGCCCTGCCCACTCCAGCCATCAGAGGAGCCAGCGCCATGCCTCAGACCGCCCTGCCCACTCCAGCCATCAGAGGAGCCAGCCCCATGCCTCAGACCGCCCTGCCCACTCCAGCCATCAGAGGAGCCAGCGCCATGCCTCAGACCGCCCTGCCCACTCCAGCCATCAGAGGAGCCAGCCCCATGCCTCAGACCGCCCTGCCCACTCCAGCCATCAGAGGAGCCAGCCCCATGCCTCAGACCGCCCTGCCCACTCCAGCCATCAGAGGAGCCAGCCCCATGCCTCAGACCGCCCTGCCCACTCCAGCCATCAGAGGAGCCAGCGCCATGCCTCAGACCGCCCTGCCCACTCCAGCCATCAGAGGAGCCAGCGCCATGCCTCAGACCGCCCTGCCCACTCCAGCCATCAGAGGAGCCAGCCCCATGCCTCAGACCGCCCTGCCCACTCCAGCCATCAGAGGAGCCAGCGCCATGCCTCAGACCGCCCTGCCCACTCCAGCCATCAGAGGAGCCAGCCCCATGCCTCAGACCGCCCTGCCCACTCCAGCCATCAGAGGAGCCAGCCCCATGCCTCAGACCGCCCTGCCCACTCCAGCCATCAGAGGAGCCAGCCCCATGCCTCAGACCGCCCTGCCCACTCCAGCCATCAGAGGAGCCAGCGCCATGCCTCAGACCGCCCTGCCCACTCCAGCCATCAGAGGAGCCAGCGCCATGCCTCAGACCGCCCTGCCCACTCCAGCCATCAGAGGAGCCAGCCCCATGCCTCAGACCGCCCTGCCCACTCCAGCCATCAGAGGAGCCAGCCCCATGCCTCAGACCGCCCTGCCCACTCCAGCCATCAGAGGAGCCAGCCCCACCACCACACCAAAGCACCAGGACCAGCATGGCCCCCAAGTCCATCCTGCAGGACACTGCCTACAGGAGATTTCACGCTCCAGTAGCAACCGCCCAGGCATCAGCCACTCGTAGAAGGACCGGCGATGTCCCAGCAACACCCAAGCCAGACCGCATCTTTCCGACCACCAGCAATGCCACTATCCCACCAGAGATCCCATCCCAGCATCCAACCGAAGGGAATCCTGACCCACGAGAGAGATGGCAGGCCCACCACACAGCAGGCTCAAAGCCTGCACTGGACGAGGTCAAGGACCCTGAGGACCAGTGGCCATGGTGAAGGCTGCCATGCTGTGGCAGACTGCCTGGACCAAAGAGCTACAAGCGGCAACTTCCTTTGATTACTTCGACCTCCTCGAAGACAGGCTCATCTGAGAGCTGTCTGCGGAAATCACTTCCAGGAGGAGTTTGAACCAGGAGAACTCCCCATCTGCCCACAGAACGCCTGCTCTGAACGACACCACCACCACTAGGGGAGCCAGAAGTAGAAACTCCAGCCACTGTTACGATCCAGCAGCAGCTTCCAGGATCCAAAAGCTGTACTGGGTGAATCGCTCCAAGGTCATGAGGGAGATCCTAGACAGGCCCTCATCCTACTACATGATCCGAACTGAGTATCTCCACAGCTACTTCAACGATGTATTCAACCACATAGCCCGGAATGACATGCACCGCCGAGAGTGTGTCGGCCCCTGCCCCGTGTCGACGATGCAGGTGTCCCGGAGACTGACTTTATGCCCAAGGAAGGGATGGCCGTACTCTCAAAAACAAAAAACACAGCTCCTGTGAAAGATGGCATCCCCTACAGCCTCCTGAAAAAGCAAGACCCTGGCTGCCTGATCCTCGCCACACTCTTCAACCAGTGCAAGCCAGACTCCCAGCTCCTGGAAGAAGGCCATGACAGTGCTGGTGTACAAGAAGGGCGAGCGGGACAACCCCAGCAACTGGAGGCCCATCTCCCTCTGCTCCACGATGTACAAGCTGTATGCCAGCTGCCTGGTGTCAGGGATCACGGAATGGTTGGTGAGTGGGGGAGCCATCAGCTCCATCCAGAAAAGCTTCATGTCCTGCAAGGGCTGCTACAAACACAACTTCATCCTCCAATCCACCATCCAAACAGCCAGAAGTGCGCGGAAGCAGTGTGCGGTAGCGTGGTCCATTCTTCACCACCACATCTTTGCCACGCTCCAGGAGTTTGGGATGCCAGAGAACTTCCTTCATGTGATCGAAGAGCTGTACAAGGGATGCAGCACCACCATCCACTCGGTCAAAGAGGAGACCACCGAGATCCCTATCCGGAGCAGAGTAAAGCAGGGCTGTCCCCTCAGCCACATCATCTTTAACCTCACCATGGAGCCATTGCTGTGAGCGATCTCCAGTGGCACAGATGACTTCAACCTCCACGGTGAGAGGGTGAGCGTCCTGGTTTATGTGGACGACCTGGTCCTCACCGCAGACGACCCAGAGAGCCACCAGGGCATTCTAGATGCCATCAGTTGAGCTTCCGACTGGATGGGGCTCCGCTTCAGTGCAAAGAAGTGCACACTCTCCACACTGATGGCAGCAAAAGGAACTTGGTGCAGGCAGTGGGCGATCCAAGGCGAGCCCGTCACCCCCCTGGCAGGGGGCAGGCATACCAGCACCTTGGCACGCCGATGGGTTTCCGTGTCTGGCAGACACCCGAGAACACCATCAGGGAGATCTTGCAGGATGCCGCCAAGATCGATGCCTCCCTGCTGGCACCGTGGCAGAAGATAAACACCCTGAACACCTTCCTGATCCCCCACATCTTCTTCGCCCTATGGGGATCCGCTGTGGTGAAGGTGCCCCTCAACAAGGAAGACAAGATCGTCCGGCAGCTGGTGAAGAAGTGGCTGTTCTTTCGCCAGAGAGCCAGCAATGAGCTGGTCTACATCACCCACAGGCACGGTGGTGCCAATGTCCTCCACATGGGCTACCTGTTCAATATTGCGGTGATCACCCACGCCTTCCTCCCACTGACTTGTCCTGATGCCACGGTAAGGAACATTGCATCGAATGCCCTGTATGATGTGATAAAGAAGTGGATCGGCAGACCCCCCCCCTCCAACCAAGACATTGCCACCTTCCTGAGCAGCTCCCTGGATGGCGAATTCGGACGGGACATGGGTGACATCGCTTCACTGTGATCCTGCACTCACAGCACCATGTGTCGCCTGGGGAAGCATGTTGGCTGCCGCTGGGAGTGGTGCGAGGAGCGCCAGGAGCTGGGAGTCCTAGTGCAACAGATCAGGTCCAGCAATAACACCATCATCACCCCGAGTGCCAGGGACATGTTAGACAGGACCTTGAAGGCTGCCATCCACTCACTGTACGTGGAAACACTGAAGCGTAAACCAGACCAGGGTAAAACCTTTCAGTTGACCAGCAAGTTGGACTCCCGCAACCACTTCCTTGCCGGGGGCAGCTTCACCCATTTCAGCGCCTGATGGTTCATCCACTGTGCCCGGCTCAACTGCGTCCCACTCAATGTAGTCGTCCACCACGGGAACCGAGACAAGAATTGCAGGAAGTGCAGCTACTCCAACATGACCCTGCCCCATGTCCCATGCAGTTAGAAGCCCCACTCCAGAGCCTGGTAGCTGTGCCAACCAGAACCGCTTGGTGAAAGCCATCGCACTGTGCCTAAGGGAAGTTGCCATGAACTGCGCCATCCCCAGTACTAACAGCCAGCAGCTGTCACCGACAAGGCCCAGAAAAAGATCATCCTCAAGGACATCACTTAAAGCCAAAATAAAACCCTGATAAAAACAAAACAATGACAAAGGAATAAGATTCAGGGGTAAAAAGATCGTGCTGGCAGAAGGCGAGAAACAGAGTGGAGGCTATCCTGTTTATTGCACCCAATGCAGCATGTATGATTACCTGCCCTATGGGCAGGTGGCATTTGCGTGCATTCGGTGCAAGGAGCTCCTCGCCCTCAGAGACCATGTATTGTCTTTGGGTACCAGAGTGGCTGAACTGGAGGAGCTAAGGGAGACAGAGAGGTACATAGATGAGACTTTCTGGGACACTGAATAATGGTCCCACCCCCAGTCGGACAGCCTTTGTGCTGTTGAGGAGGATAAAAGTCTCAGGGAAGGAAAACCTCCAATGAGAGCAGAGGGAAATGATCCCATAGTTGGGACCCTCTTTCCAGATGATGTTGTGGTATCCTCTCGCACTGAGGATACCTCTCTGGGGGAGGAAACTCCAGTTATTAGGAAGAGACAGGTATTAGTTATGGGGGATTTGATCATTAGAAACATAGACAGCTGGGTTTACGATGACCGGGAGAACCATATGGTGACTTTCCTGCCTGGTGCGAAGGTTGCGGATCTCTTGAGACATCTAGATAAATGTATGTGTAGTGCTGGGGAGGAACTTGTAGTCGTGGTACACATAGGTACCAGTGATATAGGTAAGGACTAGGAGAGAGGTCCTGGAGGCCAAATTTAGGCTGCTAGGTAAGAGATTGAAGTCCAGGACCTCCCTGGTAACATTCTCTGAAATGCTTCCAGTTCCACACGTAGGGCCAGTTAGACAGGCAAAACTGCAAGGTCTCAATGTGTGGATGAGATGATGATGTAAAGAGAAGAGGTTTAATTTATTAAGAACTGAGGAAACTTTTGGGAAAGGGGTAGCCTATACAGGAGAGATGGGCTCAACCTAAACCAAAATGGAACCAGATTGATGGCACTTAAAATTAAAAAGGTCGTAGAGCAGTTTTTAAAATAAGGGCTGGGGGAAAGCCGACAGGTGCAGAAGAGCACGTGGTTCAGACAGAGACATCCCTATGGGGAGAATCTATTAATGGAGATTCTCTATGTCAGAGGTTCTCAAACTGTGATCCGCAGACCACAACTGGTCTGCGCGCTCCATTCAGGTGATCTGTGGATAGTTCCCTCTAAGGTGTGTACCTGGGGGGGGTCACACATGAGAGAATGAAGGACCGCTCACCTAATTAGTGGAGCCACACAGCCATGGCTCCACTAATTAGGTGCTTGGATCCTGGAGAAGACACACATGTAAGGTGAGGTTGTGGCCCTGGGGGCAATAGGTGATAGGTGGGAGGGGGCAGTGGGGTGAAAAGAGGGGGTAGGGGAATTTGGGATGTGCAGGGCTGCAGCGGCCAGAGAAAGGCAACTTTCCCCAGCTCCAGGCTTGAGGCTGCTGGGGAGAGATGGCCTTCCTTCCCAGTCTCAGCTCTGTGGCTGCTGTGGTGGGAGAAAGACCCCACTCCTTCCCAGCCCCAGCTCGGGGGCTGCCACAGTGGGGGAGAGAGGGAGAAACCCTCCTCCTTTCCAGCTCCAGCCCCAGCTCAGGGGTTGCCGCAGTGGGGGAGAAAGGGCACATCCATCGCATTAGAAAGGTAAGACTACTGATATTAAAATATGAGTTGTGTGCTTTTATTTGTAGAACAAAAATTGTTATTTAATATAGTGCTTTTATCCAAAGCGCTTTACAATAGTTAGCTAACAGTACAAATAACATTTGGAAAGATCATTAAGTGGTCCGCTGAGACCCTCAGCAATTTTCAAGTGGTCCGTGAAAAAAAAAAGTTTGAGAACCACTGCTCTATATCCTAGTAAGGAGGAGAGGATGGAAAATGATAAAATACAGATAGGATCTGATCAGAAATAGTCAAATGAAAAAGAATCCCATTCAATTACATCAGGTAATGGCAGACAGCTAAAAAGTGACAAGGTTTTAAAGTTCTTATATATTAATGGTAGAAGTCTAAATAATAAGATGGGTGAACTAGAGTGCCTTGTATTAAATGAGGATATTGACATAATAGGCGTCACAGAAACTCGGTGGAATGAGGATAATCAATGGGACATAGTAATAGCAGGGTACAAAATATATCATGCTCGTGGGACTGGCACAATATGTGAAAGAAAGCTTAGAATCAAATGAAGTAAAAATCTTAAATGAACCAAACTGTATGATAGAATCTCTACGGATAATAATTACATGCTCTAAGAAGATAGTACTAGGGATACATTACCGACCACCTGACGAGGATGGTGATAGTGACTGTAAAATGCTCAGGG